TTCTCTCTCTTCTTCTCTTCGTTAGCATGGCTAAGGGTCTGTCGATCTTATTTATTTTTTGGAAGAACCAACTTTTAGTTTTGTCAATTTTTTCAATAGTTTCTTTTGTTTCAATTTCGTTGATTTCCGCTCTGATTTTAATTATTTCTTGCCTTCTACTACCTTTGCTGTTGTTTTGCTCTTCCTTTTCTAGGGCTTTGAGATGAAATGTGAGCTCATTTATTTTTTGTAATGTTGAAAATGCAGTCCATTTTGATTGAGTAGCTCTGTGTGAGTCAGGTCCAGAATTTGTGTTTTTGAAATTGAGCAGTGTGGGTTGAGGATGGTGAAGAAAGATGTTGAAAAAGATATATTTGAGTGCAATTGTTTTACCTGGTAGAAATGTTTGTAAATCATAATTATAAAATTWCCTCAGGGAACCTAATCAGCTGAGTCTGTTGCTTACCTGAGCAAACAAATATTTAAAAATAACAGAGAAAGCTGAAACTCACCTTTTGATTATAAAAACCTAGGAATAAAATCAATAATGTATTGATGCAGAGGAAAGTGCATGAGTGATAGTAGAAAATTTCAAAGGCCTGTGATGCACAGGCCTTTGTAGATTTCAGATATAGTATTTCAAATAGTAGGGAAAGAGCAAACTGATCAGTAAATGTGGTGTTAGCTTCATTTGGGGAAAACAGATCCTTACTTCTAATTCAGTAAGATSTTGCAAAACAGGGTGGTATCCAGAAGCCATAAAATATTGACAGATTGGACTACATTAAAAAGAAAAAAAAATCAATCTGTAAAATATACAGTACTTTTAAAGACAGGTGACAGRCTGAGATAAAAATTTTGTAACTTAAAACAAAGAAGGAATATAATTGTCAGAATGGAAATTGGATGGGATAATATTTTTAACTGCTTTTTTGAAGATGTGGGGAAAATTTACACACTTTGGGCGCAACATTTTAGTAGCTCAATTTGGTATTTTCTAACAATAAATTAGAGATGTTTATAAGTCCTTGGCACTGCATTTCTGCATTTTGGAATCTCTCCTGACAAACACTCATTTATGTGTATGATGATTAATGTACAGGGGTATCCACTGTATTACTATAACTGAAAAAAAAAAAAACCAAAACAAAAACCTATCTGAATGTTTATCAACAAGAAAATATTTAATAGATTAGAACAGTCACTTATTATAATATTATACAGGTGTCCAAAAGAATTAGCCAAGGTACATGAACAGCAAGGGAACAAGTTTATGGTATTCCATATATGAGTCTGATAAGACATAATCTTAGGAGCAAGATTCAGGACCTTATATCTCCTTGGAGAAATGGCTGATTCTAGGATTAGGGCATGTTAGATTCAAGATGATTCTAAAACATCTTGTGTCAAAAAGCAAGAAAATGCTAAAAGCATCATCATCATCATCATCATCATCATCATCCTGGGAATTTTAAAAGAACACAGGAGCATGCTTGAAGGGTTAATCACTGGTCAAATCTGGGACAGTTTAAGTACCAAAATAAGTAAGAACTGTTATTTAAGATTGAAGCTATTGAATGAGAGTTCATGAATCTCTGCTTATAATATGCAGATTATAAATACATATATGGGGTAAAAGATACCTTTTCCTTACAGTGGAATGCTGACTAATAATACAGAAAAAAATGATGCTGAATGACTCTTMCGCAATCCTCATGCACAGATGATAGAGGCAAGAATCAAGAATTGACTCTAAGTCAAGGGAAGGAATTTAATGAGAAGCAGGGTATTCAGTGGTTTTAAAGTATCTTTCAAATATACTTATTACAGAAGGAAAATTGTAAATGTGTAGTGATGAAACCATACAGCATTTTAACCAAGTGATCAAGCTAAGATTCTTGGTGAGGAAACCCCCTTTATATAGATAGTATTGCCTCCCAGAAGAATGCACCTAATTATGAGGAAACCATAGACAAAGTCAAGATGGAGCCAAAAAATGTACTACCTTCTTAAAAAATTTCATTGTCATGAGAGAGAAAAAAGCAAAGATATGGAACATTAAATCTCCACATTAAAGGAGATTAAAGAGATAGTTGAGAGATATTGAATGTGGATTATAGATTGGAAAATACTGATTTGGTAACTRTGGTGATTAATATCTTTACTTGTAATAAATATACACTGAAAGTGTATCTGTTGAGGGATGAATAGGCATGATGAATGCAACCTGCTTTCAGATAATTTAGAAGAAAATAAAGAGTGTAATAAAGCAAATGTGGCAAAATATCAAAAAATACGGTATGAGAAATTCTGGTTAAAGGGTATGAGAGTTCTTTATATTGTCTGGGAAACTTGTCTATAGATTTAAAATAATTTATGAAATTAAAAAGTTAAGAGCAAAGCAAAATATGTGTAATGTATCTTTATATATATTTGAGCAATATATGTACATATTACACTCAAATGTAAAGAAGAAGGTATGGAAAGATATGCATCAAACACCAGTGAAGAAATAAGGATAGGAGTACTGTGAAGGTTGACATTCTCTTTCTATATGAAGTTGTAGCATTAAGTCTATATTCATGTATTTTGTAATAAACTAAAAGGAACTTATTTGTCACATCTTTTTTGTTTTTATAACTTGTGACTTAAGTTATTAAAATTTTTAATTTTATTTGATGACTCATTTTTTTGAGAGTATAATAAAAAAATTTCTAGAAGGGAACTAAACTTCTATAACTTTATGAAGGCAAATAGACTAAAAAATAAATGCTTCTGGGGGCTGGGGATATAGTTCAGTTAGAAGAGTGCTTGTCTTGAATGTATAAGCCCCTGGGTTCAATCCCCAGCATTCCCACCAAAAAAAAAAAAAAAAAAAAAAAAAAAAAAAGCTTGTGAGGTGAGGTGAGATGAGGTTGGATTGTTTTCTTTTTACAAAATGGTGTTGCCAAAATGGTCATGGAATGTTATTTTCAATGTAAATTTTTATTGACACAGACATCTTTATACTAAATGCATAACCTATACAATTGTGAATTTTCATGAAATTGATATATACCTGTGTAACCAGTATTCAGATCAGGGACCAGAACATTACTACCATCCTGGAAAGTCTCCAGGAAGAATCCCTTTCCTTTGCCATTGTCTGCTCCCTCAAAAGTAGCCATTATCCTGACCTCCAGTACTACACATTAGTGTTGCTTCTTTTGAATTTTACACAGATTAAATTATATAGTGTGATTGTGTGTGTGTTTGTATGCCTTGTTTCTTTTGTCTAACATATCCATGTTGTTAGGCTCAGTTTGTTGAATATAAAATTCCATTGTATGAATATATTACAGTATATTTATTTGTCTTTTTCACTATTTATGGACATTTAAATTGTATCAGTGGACTCTTGGTAAAATATTATTGCTACAAACATTCCTGAATGTTCTTTTAATGTATGAATTTCTTTGGCTATAGTCCCAGAAGTGGAAAAGCCAAATASCACGTTAAGGATGATTCTCTAATAGATATGTTTCACTTGAGTGGGTACTGCAAAACCATCTTCCAAAGTGGACTTACTAATTTATATTCCTACAAGTAGTGTGGGACTGTATCCTCATCAACACATGAACAAACAAAACTTGACTTTTATTTTCCCCCTTCTAGGGGTTGTGTACTATACATTATGGTTTTTACTTCATTACCCTGGCGATTATTGAAGCCAAGCAACTGTTAATGTACTTACTGTATTTGTTCTTTTTCCACCCCCCCCACTCCCACCCCCCCACTGGGGATTTAACCTAGGGGAATTTGCCATTGAGCTACATATCTTGCTCTTTTTATTTTTTATTTTGAGACAGTCCTAGTAAGTTGCTTAGTGCCTTGCTAATTTGCTTTGATCTTGCCATCCTTCTGTCTCAGCCTCCAGCTTCTTTGGGTGGAATTACAAGTGTATGCCACCTGATTAGATGTGTTCTTCTGTGAAGTGTCTAAAATTTGATTGAATATGTGTATTACAAATATTTTCATTCAGTGATTTTCATTTTTACTTATTMGGATGTCCTTTTCTGAGCAGAAGTTCTTTATTTGTCATTTGTTTTCTTTTATAGCTAGTGATTATGTACATAATTTAAGAAACCTATGCCCATGATATCTTATTTCATTTTTTATATGTATTTTTTATGACTCAATATTAGATGATATTACTTGATGTAAAAAAAAAAATCTTTCTTCCCTTATTTTGTCTCTCAACAGAGTGGGCCTTAAGGATATTGTTGGTATCCATTTGCCAAAAAATGTGAAATTTCAGAGTCCAGCTTATTCTTATATAGATAATGAAGAAACAGTTGAACCGTATACAACTGAAAAGATGAGTCGAGTTCCTGGAGGATATTTGGCTTTGACAGAGTGTTTTGAAATTATGAAAGTAGATTTTAACAATCTTCAGGTAAAAAACAAAAAATTTCAATTATGATTTTTAAGCATTAAATTTTATGCATTGTTTAATGGATAGGACAATCTTATTTTTATGAATTTGCATAAGATTTGGCTTCTGATATATAAAGAATTGATAAGACAGTAATTAGAATTCCCTCCTGAAATTATTCACTCACTTCAAGCAAAAATAAAAATTTCCTAAGATTGATTGGGATGTATAGTGTGCCAAATACTTTCACATTTGTCTTAGAGAGCTCTAATACCATGTTTCAGAAGAATTAGAATTATCCTTGTGCTATACAGATGAGAAAACTTGTTTTTAGTTGTAGATGGACACAATACCTTTATTTATTTTATTTATTTTTCTCTGGTGCTGAAGATCGAACCCAGTGCCTCACATGTGCAAGGCAGGCACTTCACCACTGAGCTAGAACCCCATTTCCAGATGAGGAAACTATTTATCACATTAAACAGTTTCTGCCAGAATATTCAGCATGGAAATACAAGGGCAAGACTTCTAGACCAAGTTTTTCTTTTTTTTTTTCTCTCTGTGTCATGATGCCTTTTTAAATTAATAGTATTCCTTGAAATGATTTCAAGATTAAATTTGCATTCTGGTGACTAGCCATTCCATTGCCCAGGACTGAGGAGTTCCTGAGACAGAGGATGTTCAGTTTTAAAACTAGGGTGGTCTTAAGAAAAGCAGGGCAGATTGATCACCCTAGTATTTGTGTATGTGGTAGAAATTGAGAAAGGCCACATAGAACGCTTTTATGAGGTCTTTTTTTTTTTTTTTTTAGTTGTAAATAGATCTTTTATTTTATTTATTTATTTATATGCGGTGCTGAGGATCAAACCCCAGGGTCTTACACATGCCAGGCAAGTGCTCTACCCTGAGCTACAACCCCAGCTCCATGAAGCTCTTTAATTAAGGTTAAATGTTCAAGTATACAAGTATTTTAGATGAAGCCACCTGGGGACTGAAGATTTTGTGAAGGTCATTTTAGCCTAAGATTTAAAAAATTTAATAGAAGCTTTATCCTCTAATAACTGTTGCTTGGTTATTATTGAGGTATTCTCCAACTAATTTTAATATTTTGGTTTTGCTTCCTGAGGCAGAGCAGTCTTCTTCCTAAGTATAATTCTCAGGAAGACTGAAAATATAAGTATATAATCTAAGCAACATTCCAATAGAGAATAACACCATTGTAGCTGCTGATTACCTCAAAGCTATCCTTTTATTATTTTAATTTTTCTTTGCCATATACATTACTAAGGTTTTAATTTTGAAAGCATCACCTGCCTGTTTAACAATACTTTCAAGCCATACAGAATTGAAAATGAAAAAGCTCTAGTATTTTTCTTCCCTTTTTAAATCTTGGCCCCTTTTCCCCAGGTCAGAAGTTTGGAGTGCATCTTTCAGACTAGAATTTTCTGTTTATACACCTTTTTTAAAAAAAATGTTTATTTTTTTTAGTTGTAGTTGGACACAATACCTTTATTTATTTATTTTTATGGTGCTGAGGATCGAACCCAGGCCCTCGAACGTGTCAGTCCAGTGCTCTATGACTGAGCCACAACTCTAGGCCACCATCATCCCTTTTTAAACAAAATAATCCTTGYGACTTTGCTACTTGCTTTGTCATCCAATATATCATGAAATTTCTTGCAGTGGTGATGTCTATCTGCCTATTCTTTGAGTAGCTGAGTGATACTCTAATATAACAGATCAAAACTCCTGATCCAGTAGTCTTGAGGTGGTTTTAGATATCCACGTTACTGGTTGCTTCAGAGTGCTGSGAAGGCTATTTCAGGGATGTTCAGTGTATGAAATCCTCTCATTCCTTTTACATTTTTTTCCCTAAGGAATTAAAAAGTCTTGCAACTAAAAAACCTGACTCAATTACTATTCCTGTTGTTAAAGAAGGCACATTAGATGCTGTTGTGGTTTGGTTTGTGCTTCAGCTCGATGATGAACACAGTTTATCCACAAGTCCTAGTGAGGAAACGTGTTGGGAACAGGCTGTTTACCCTGTGCAGGACCTTCCAGGTAGGTCTTGTCTAGTTTTTGTTTTGTTTTTTWAAAAAAACGTGTTGCTTGAATGCTCTGAGTAAAAAGGGAAAAAACAAAACTCATAAAACTTTGGATATGAAGTTTTCAGTCAAGGGAAGTTGGTTACATCTTTGAGAAGTTTTTTTTTTTTTCAAAAGTAGATATACATAATTAATATAAGTAGTTAAAGGAGAGATTAAAACCAACTCTGTTACATACCACTAAAAAATATTTATCACTGGTTTTTTAGTTATTAGTAAGTGAAAGAAATGCTGTTTTTGCTGTTGTTTGTGTTTTTAATGGAAAGTATTGGAAAATGCTTTTAGTGCAGGAGTTTTAACCCCTTGATGTATCTGATAACATCTGTGGAGACTCAGTCATAAATATGCACATACTAATATAAACAAAAGCTGGCACTTCAGGGAATTCATGGATGAGTGAACTTACTAAGTAAGTTCTGTATTAAAGATAATATTTGCGTGGAAATTTTTTTTTTACAGCAATTTGATGAGTTTTAGTGAGTTTACAGCAGTTGAATTATATAGAAAAGCTCTACCCTTTTTAAGTAGAAAGGCAGTACATTCTATATAATTCAGCATCTACTTAAAAAGGGTAGAGCTTTTCTATATAATTCAGCATCTAATGTGCCTTCTTGTTTATGTGATCTTCAGGCTAACAAGCATTCCATATTAATCAGTTATACTATTTCTCTCTTATTAATGAAGACTACTGGATGAAGCCTGGAGATCATGTGACAAGGTCATTAAGTTATGGATCTGTATAGTGTGTGGCTAGTGTGATGTTTTTAATCGGTAGATTTGGATTCATATCTCAAATCTGCTACTTACTGACTCCCTGTAGACTGGCCTTGCTAGTCATTTCTCCATTTTTGTTGTGAGATATATATATATATATATCTGAGATGGCACTGTCTACGTTTTAACAGTATTATTGTAGGAATTATTAGAGATAAAGGGTATGAAATGTCTACCACAGTGATTGCACTCAATAAATTGTACACACACAAACATATATTTTATATCTATATATTTATTTTCTCTCAGAGTTAACTTAAATGTCATTTTAAAAAAATATTTTTATCAATTGTTTTTTATAACTTTATTTATTTATCTATCTATCTATCTATCTATCTATTTATTTATTTATTTTTATGTGATGCTTAGGATTGAACCCAGGGCCTCGAACATGCTAGGCTCTACTGCTGAGTCACAAACCCAGCTCGAATTGTCATTTTTTTAAAAAAAGTATTTTTGGAGAAGAGTCATTTAAAATGTTTAAATGTAAGAATAACAACTTGTACTTTTAACTGRTTCTAGAGCTGATGAGAAGGTATTATGATTATACATTTTCATTGTAAAGTTTTACCACATGTGAAACTCATAGAAAAGAGTACTTGTAGAACATAGTTCTTTCTTAAACTTTGAAATTCCTAAGCATGCAAGAATATCTAAAAATTAACTGATTAGAAATATTTCAAACAGGATTCTGATGAATGCTGACTTGTTTTTTGGAAATTTTTCTTAGAGAAAAGAATGTCATGTTAAGTTAAAGTGAAATTTGATTTTGATTCCTGAATTTTTTCTATGACCATACCACCCTGAATGCGCCCAATCTCATCTGATTCCTTAATTTTGTCTCTCTTTAGTTTTGTTAGCTTTATTACTAAAGATGATTGAGAATTCCCTGCAGCCATCTGCCCCGCTTCCCTGACCCATCTTCCCTATGATGGTACCTATTGATAGCAGTAAACAAAACAAAACAAACCTATAATACTGATAGTGTTACGGTCCAGTAATAGAGCTCTTAAAACTTTCTGTTATGGTACAAATTAGTTGGATTTCCAAATTTTAGTTTTTCCCTAGTAAAGCTGGTGAGATTTTCCTAGTTTTTTAAAATAGTAAATTAATAGGTGTAATCCTTTCTGTAGTTATTAAAAGAATTGCGGATTAAATGGGGGCATTGGAGATGTTTATGTGATCTTCAGGCTAACAATCATTCCATATTAATCAGTTATACTATTTCTCTCTTATTAATGAAGACTACTGGATGAAGCCCGGAGATCATGTGACAATGGAAGTATCTTGTCAAGACTGTTACCTAAGAATCCAAAGTATCAGTGTTTTGAGTTTGGAACAAGAAATGGAAGTTACAAAAAGTTTCACTAAGGATACAGACTTACTATCTTTGGGAAATGAGGCTGAACTCTGTAGTGCCCTGGCTAACCTTCAGACCAGCAAGCCAGATGCTGGAGAGCAAATATGTGTACTGGAATCCACAGAAATTGCTTTGCTTAATAACATGCCATATCACGAAGGCTTTAAAATGGCAATGAAGAAGGTATTCTCTTCATTGACTCCAGAAAAACTATGTCAGGTGATGGATCCTCACTGTGAGGATAATGAAATGAGCTCAGGAACTGGAAGGCAAAACACTGTGCAGAGCACCTCCGAACCTTTATATGTGTTAGATGTGTCTGAGGGCTTCTCTATTCTGCCTATAATTGCTGGTACACTCGGGCGGGTTAAGCCTTACAGTTCTGTGGAAAAAGACCAGCATCGTATTGCTCTGGACCTCATATCTGAAGCCAATCACTTTCCTAAAGAAACACTTGAGTTTTGGCTGAGACATGTGGAGGATGAATCTGCTGTGTTGCAAAGGCCCAAATCAGACAAGTTGTGGAGCATAATCATACTGGATGTCATCGAGCCATCTGGGCTCATTCAGCAAGAAATAATGGAAAAAGCTGCAATATCGAGGTAAACCACAAAATAGAAATTTTTAGTTTTTTCAGTCTCAAACATCACATAAATTCTTTTAGTTCTTTAAGGGTACAACCATAAAAATGAAAGACCATTGTGTGTTTGTCAAGCATTGTATTTGTTATTTCATGTTTATCTCTGTGTGCATATTATTACTGATTTTTTTTTTTTCCCTGAAGAAATCTCTGTACTGTAGGAGTGAAGAAGAAAGTCTACTTTGTGTGTTAGGATAGCCTATGTTAATATAAGGACTTASGTCAAAATCTATTAAAATAGGTAAGATGTTCAGGGTGAAAACGATTAAAAAAACAAATTTATCTTTTATGATGTAAGAAACGTGTTCATGTTTGATGATATATTGGGAGAACTCATTCTTGAGAATGAGTACCAGTACTCCTGGGTCTTAATGTCTTTATTTTATAATATAGTTCTCTCTCTAAAGCTAAAGGTATTTCTCCTTTAACTTACGTTCCTCAATGTAAACTTGGCCTTATTATTTAATATAGAAAGTAAATTTGGCTATGTTTCAAAGTCCTTTAGTTATGATGCTGAGATCTGCAAAGAAGGCAATATATAACAGTTGGAAGYCCAAACTTATGAAAAATAAATTTTTACAGATTAAAATTTTACATTATAGGGAGAGGGTTGTTTTGTATTAAAAGAAAGAACGGTGGGAATGCAGACCCAAGATTGAAATAGTATAAAGTTAAATTATCTATTCAAGAAAGATACTTGACAAACCTGGGAAAAAAGTATTTTGCTTACATACTTAATTATAGTCAGATTTTATATGCAGTTTCTTTTGTTACTCACTTTTATTGCTTGTGTGTGTGAACCAATAAAAACAACCACTGTGATTTTCTTTTTAAACAATCTTGTATGTATATATTATTATACTGGCTCTGATCTTAAATAAATTTTGGAGCTATGGAGGCTTAAGTATATATACATATAATTGTGTGTGTAATTTKAAACAGATGGACCTGAAACAAGATCTAAAAGAGTTCATATCCAGTATCAGATTTGTTCCTGAATTTACTAAGTTGTATAATTTCTTTGTCAGATGAGAATACTGGGTTAAATGTCTTTGAAGATAGTTCAACTCTGAATTTCTTATATAGTGAAGTTTAACTTATTTGGTATAGTCACCTTGGAAAGTCTTATATTTTCCAAATGATTTATTTTTAGTTTTGATTTAATTTAAACTTACAGGAAAATTGCAAGAATAGTACAGAGTACTTTTTACACATATTTACAGATTGTTTACATTTCTTTTATTTCTTTTATAATTTTCTTTGATTCTTTATTCTACTTTTCTGAGAGTAGGTTAGAGGCATAGTACTCCTTTACTACTACATAACTTATGTATGTGKTTTTTTTATTAGAGCATTATAGTTGCAAACAGTAGTTGTGTACATTTTGAAAAAATCATACATGTAAGGAATTTGATTTTAAACTCTTTTTTTTAAATATATATGTATTTGTCATTATTAAACTCTCTCTTCCTTTGCTTCTTCTCYTACTTCCCATTATTCTCTTCCTCTGTGTTACTGGTATTCCTTTCACTCATTTAATTAGTTTTGACTTGTTCTTTCTACATGTACATAAAGGTGAAATTTACTGTGTATATTCATATATGTGTATAATRTGATTTTTGTTAAATTCATTTCATATKTCTTCTTTTCCTGTCTTTTCTTTCTCCCTCTTGTTCTCCTCCTATTCCATTGATGTTACCTATCTTTATGATATTAAACCCTCCTCCCCCTTACTGCTTTCTTTCTGTTATTTTGCTCTAGCTTCTACATATCACAAAAATATTTGGCTCTTTATTTTCTGAGTCTGGCTTATTTCACTTAGCAGGACTGGTATTACTTCTGAGATAACTCAGCAGAAAGTACATTTGGTCCTGGGCTTGCCTTTTTTACCCCTAAGACTTTTCATCTGTTTAGGGTTTCTGTATCTTCCTGGTTCGATTTAGGCAGGTCATATATCTAGAAATTTGCCAATATCTTCTAGATTTTCCTGTTTATTAGAGTACAATTTTTCAAAAGAGTTGTTTTTTCAGTCTTTATTTCATTAATTTGGCTCTGATATTATTTATTTCCTATCTTCCACTGACTTTGGAATTAGTTTGTTCTTCCTCTACTAAGGCTTTGAATTAGAGCATAAGCTTATTTATTTGGGAATCTATTTTTTTATTTAGGTACTCAATGTTATAAATTTTCTTCTTAGAACTACTTTATACCATCTGAGAGATTTTGATATATTGTATGTCCTCACTTGTTTCAAAAATTTTTCTTGAATTCTCTTTTCTTTTTTGATCCATTCTTTATTTAAAAGAGTATTCTTCAATGTTTATGTGTTTATGTGGTTTC